TTTAGCGGGATGATGTCTCCCATCCTCTGCACCTCGTGGATGACAGCGTTGGTGTAGGGCATGGACTCTCGAGCTGCCGTACTCGGCTGCTGCCATTGGCCAAGCACTCTTTTGATCTCAGCCTGAACTTTTTCTGAGAAAGCAAAGAAAGTCCTATTATTGTAGTATTCATTACCCTCCTTGAGCCTGGTTCAGCTAAGGAATGAAGTAACCAGGATCGAAATGGCTAGAGTTATAGCAGGCTGTGTAGACAGTAGCTTCTCAGGGAGGTACCTGAGTGCAAAGTGGGCCCTGGTTTAAGACAAATCTGGTTGCAATTCTTGCTGCTCAGTATTCCTGATGTACGTTATTGAAACTCAGATTCCTCTTCTTATTAGTGAGGATAAATCTACTTTCATCTTTAGGATGTTTTGAAATTTACATCAACTGATTTAGGGGAGTGTCACACAAATTAAGAAAAACTCTCTAATTGTGCTCCACTAAAGGTTTTTCTCTTTTTCTAAGGTAATAGAAATTTTAGCTGGATATCTGGTTCCCCAGCTAAAAACTGCATTTCCAAGATTCCCTTGTGACCTAAGTTTTGGAATAAAGAATGTATGTTGAGGGATGTTTAACACTGGGAACATTCCCTTAAAGTTAAGGTTGCTTCTCCCTTCCCTTCCTATTGGTGGAAACGCAGCCTTATTGGTGAGGCAACTTTGAGACGGCCACAAAGGGCATCACTCTAGACACAACAGAGCAACACATTAGACAGAGCTTGGAACCCAAAGGTTTCTGCACTCCCCAGCTTAGGATATTTCACTTGAGAGAAAAATAAAGTATATTTTTTTACAGAGCATTAGAAAATTTTTAAAATTAAGATAAAATACACATATGAAATTTAACTTCATAACCATTTTTATATGTAGATTTATAATGTTAAGTACATGCATGTTGTTTGTTGTACAACCAATCACCAGAACATTTTTTTTCTTGCAAAATTGAAACTTTGCATCCATTCAGTGAAAACTCCTCATGTTCCGCATCTCCAGCTTCTAACACCCAACATTTTACTTTCACTTACTATGAATTCAACCAATCCTGACACCTCCTATAAATAGAAACATACAATATATGTCCTTTTTTGACTGCATTAGTTTGGCATCATGTCCTCAGGGTTCATCCATATCAAAGCACATGTCAGGATTTTTCCTTTTTAAGGCTGAATAATATTCCACTGTGTGTCACAATTTGTTCATTTATCCATTAACCTGTGTTGCTTCCACTTCTGTCATTTTAAGCCATTGTAATTTTGGAATCTCTAATAAAGAAGCCAATCTATATCCTAATGAGGTGGGTTTTAAAGTTAAAACAGAAAACAAAACCCTGTGATTCACAGTTACAAATACATTGTACATCATGACTCAGGACACAGGAATAAAAATATACACACATATACAACATACATTTATGTACATATAAGGAAAGTAATAAAAATTTCATGAAAAAAACTTATTTGTAGTACACTGGAAGCACTCCGATTTTTCTATTTGCTTTAATTTAGGGAAATAAGATGGTCTTGTTCCACTAAATTGACTTTACATTGTATTAATAAAATATTACCCCAGTTTGAAAACCTGTATCCCGACAGTGTTTATCCTCCATGTGCCCAAAGTGTTCTGGGGTCTAGAGAAAGAAAAATGATGGTAAGAGTCACTAACTTCCAATAACCTACAGCCTGTGGGGAGATATGTAAATAATGCTCAATAAGCAAAGTGATGGAGGTGCATGTGGTTATCACCAAAGAAGGAAATAATGCTGGTTTCCTACAGAGCAGGGAAACATCTGAGTGGAGTTTACATCTGAGCAGATTCTTCAAGCATAGCTAGTGGTCTACCATGTAGAGAAATTGACTTCACATGTGAATGGACTGTCACTTTTTCTGGGAACTCACCAAGATGTCCATGGACTTCAATGTTTTCCCCACTAGACTGGCAGTTTCCTGAGGGCAGGGACCCTTTGTTATGTTTGTAGTACAGGGACCCACCACAGTTCTGAATGAAAAACTGATGAATGTGCCCGCTCTCCCTTCTATCTGGTGCTGTGACTGTCCTACCATCACTTCCTCTTACCACCTGTCCTCTGGACCCAACGTGGGAAGTGTGTTCCAGGAGGCACCATCCTGACCTGGCCCAGGCACACCCACTGATGCGCTCACCTTGGATTTCGGGGTACAGGGCCATGTAGAGCAGACCCCAGCGCAGCGTCGTCGAAGTTGTCTCCGTTCCAGCGAAGAAGAGGTCCAGGGTGCTGTGGATGAGGTTTTCTTCATTGAAACTTGCAGTAGCGTCACCTCTATGCTGGAAAATACAATGTTTGTTGGCTTAATCAGATAGTTCTTGGCTGTCACAGCAAACAGGGGCTTCGTCCTGGAGAGAACGCGGGAGGGGAGAACCCTAGGAGAAATGACTTCCCTTTGGCCGTCTCAGGAGGATGGAATGTCATTAGCATCCTCCTGCCCTAGTTCTGGATGTTTTGTTACATTTGGTGGATGAAAATCAAGATGATTAGTTTTTTTTTATGCCCATAAATTGGAAGAACCTGTTAGTACACTGGAAAAACAGCCGGGGGTTCCAATACTAGCCACATCATTCACTATCTGTGTAGCTTGAGCAAGTCACTAAACCTCTCTGTGCTTTAGTTTCCTGTTTCACAAAAGAGAACTAACAACACTCACCCATTACAATGGCATTATGAATTATGTGAGGTACAAAGGGCACACAGAAATCACTCAACAAGTGTCTCTACTGATACCTGACATAATGAACTGAATTTCTCTAAAGTACAATTCTCATTTTTTCCCATTAGTCTTTGCATTTCTAGGTTAAAAGTTTCTGATTCCAACAACCTTTCCTCATGGTTCTCCAGCATCTTTACCACCTTCCTCCAGAAGCTTCACTTTGTTAACATTCCGCTGTGCGTGGTTCCACACCTGCACACCTTACAGCAGGTGAAGTCTCCTCCTCTGAGGAGAAACCAATGCTTCCAGGAATGCTGTGCCAATAAGGAGAAATAAGAGAGGAGATGAAAGGAAATCCACCACTCTGTCAACTCCAGGAGAGGAATAAATAATCCGATGAGTCACAGATGATGACAGGGATGCAGTGATGTGTATTAACCAGAAGGGATACCACATGAAAGGCTATACATCCAACTTGGTTTTTTCCTCTTTCTTTCCTATAATGTAGGGAAGTGGATGACACGGGGACAAGGGAGGAAGGGAAGGTCCCTCCCACTTGTGTCTAAACTCTGGCATCAGACTCAGCTTTACTTGTGTTCTGACCTGGGGGGCTGAGGGAAGGGGTAGGGAGCTGGGCATTGGTCCAACTATAATGAAACTATACCCATTTCTCCTTTTGTGTGTATTTCCTTTAGAGATGGGTAGAAGGTCAAGGACACATTATGACTTGGCAATATTTCAGGTTTCAAAGGCATTGAGCTAATTACTGTTAAACTTCTATATTTCTTTAAAATTTTTAAATGTTTAATTTAACAATTTGTGAATGAATTTCTTTTTTCTAATTGAGTATAATTGATTTCTATATTTTAAATGTTTCATCAATTCTGAGTTAATGATATTCCTCCACTGTCTGAAATACTGCCTCTAATTTACACCTCTGCGCTGGGCTGAATAAAGACCCACTTAGATGTCCACGACCTGATTCCTGGAACCCAGGGATGGTAGCTTATGTGCCAGAAGGGACTTTGTAGGTATGATTATGGTAAAGACATTGATATGGGAAGATGATCCTGGATCATCCCATAGGGCCCAATATATTCATGGGAATCTTTTTAAGAGGGGAGCAAGAAGATCATAAGAAGGAGATGTAACATTGTTGGCAGAGAAGGTGCTACACTGATGACTCTAAAGATGGAGGAAGGGGCCGTTAATCAAGGGGTAAAGGCAGCACTTACAGGCTGGAAAAGTCAAGAAAATAGATTTTCCCCTGAGCCTCCAGAAGAAGCCAGCCCTGTATGACCCTGACATTGGACCAGTGAAGTTGGTTTCAGACTTGTGATGTTTCAAACTATAGGACAATAAACTGTGATCTTTTAAGTTTGTGGTAACTTTGTGATAGCAACAATTAGACACTCGAATTCCCTCAACTGCTCTTTATTAACAAAACTCGGGAAACACCTCTGGATTCCTCACCTTCTCTATTTCCTGGAGGTAAGCATCAATGAAGTCTCTTGCTTCAGTGGGATTCCAATCTCTCTTGTGGTTTTCAATCACATGGGCAACGAACATTTTCAGTTTTTCCCAGTTACTAAAGAGCCTTTGGTGAGGTCCAGGGAGAATGTTCATTATCCGTGGAAAGACATCATAGAGCTGATTAAGGAAAAAATTTATGGAGGCAAGATGGTGCCAGTTTTCCACTTTTAAAGACATGAAACCATCTGCTTTTTCTCTTTTCTCTGTTTATACTTAAGCCTTGGGTCACCCTCCAGTTTTTTAATCTCTCATCCCACTTCTTACCCTCTGGCCAAGCATGTCAGCGCTCCATCCACAATAAAACCAGTGTCAGATGACTCATCACCACCCATCTGCTTTGTCATCCTTGTACAATCCACCAGAATTTCCTACCTGGATGCTGTAAGAGGCTCCAACAGGTTTTCTGATTCCACCCTTCACCCCATTCAGCTCAGCTCCCAGAGGGGTCATTTAACAGTTTAACTGATCATTTCACTTTCTGGCTCTCAATCCTCCGATTACTTTCCATTACATTTAGAAAAAAATTCAACCTCATTCTCCTGGCCAATAGCTCTCCATGAGCTGGCCCCTCACACCCCTGTCTCCTCCCCTACTACCCTCCCTGCCATCTTCCTCTCTCTTGCTCTTCAAAGTGCAGCTCTATTGTCCGCTGTGATAGCAACCAGGATGTCCTTGTTTAGGTCTTTGTATTTGCTGTACCTTCCACCTGGAATGGTCTTCCTCTGAAATCTGCACAACTCCAGCTTCTTCCTTTATTAAGGTGCTGCTCAAAGGTCATCTGCTTGGACCTGTCTTACCTAATCATCTTATAATTAGCAGAACTTCTGCACCCTCCTTCCATTCCCTTATTTTGTTTTATTTTACTTCTTGGCAATTATCACTAGTTGTGTTGTATGTGTGTGTGTGCGTGCATGTATATGTATATGTATATGTATATGTATATGTATATGTATATGTATATGTGTGTATTTATAGATATATTTTGTGTGTGTGTGTGTTTGGGTAAAACATGTCTATCTGTCATGTGTCTCTGTATTTATCTATGTTAAAAACATATATCTATTTATTTGTCTGTCCCCACTCTGATGTAATTTCCGTGTTGTAAGACATTTTATACTGAAATGAAGTGCTTTTTGAAGATATTTTCTCTAATAATATCTGGTAAAAGAGATAGTATAACATAATGGAAAGTGGGCTAGATTTAAAATGAACAGGCACGAGTTTGACTTTTAGCTCTCCTGCTTTTTAGGTATAATACTCCTGTGATAATAGTAATAATGTTGTGATCTGTTGCTACTTTATCTGTCTGCCAGTCAGACTTGAGGGTTACTTTCTGACTAAAGACATGAGATTCCACCCCCACTTTACACAGAGCCAGTGGACACTGTGTGGATTTGTTTACATACTCCCTTATCTGCTTGCACACATCAAGATGCTTCATTTTATCTTTAAAGAACTGTTTTAAAAAATCAGCAGAGATAATGTGCGTCTAGTTGTCCATCAATGTGCCTGGTCTCTTCTGTGTCTCTAAGAAATCCTTCTACCCCTGCCCTGCTGCCCCATCCTACCCTCCTGGGAATTTCACATCCCTGCAAGCAGTCAGCTGGGTACCCACTGAACTGTAATGACTTCCTCGGCTCTGTCTTAAGAAGTAAGAAACGGAATTACTGAATGGGGGACTACCTTGATTACAAGTGAGAATAGGGAGTTATTCAATCAGGGACTACCTTGATTAGAAGACAGAAGTGGAATATTATGCAAAAATGACATTGACAATAATCATTATAGCTCACATTCATTAGGCCCCTTTAATGTGCCAGAAATCATAGGAACTGCTTTACCACCTTTGGTGTGATGGGTCTAAAGCTCCATGCAAAGATGCTTGTCATTAATAAATAAAACAAACCCCCTTCTAGACACCAGAGAGGCAACATTTAGGATTTATTTTCCCTCAAACTGTCTTTCAAATCCAGAAAAGAGGCTTACAGACCAAGAAGCTGAGCAGAGTTACTGACAGAATCACAGGCCCAGCAGTACAGAGAAGGAGGGCAGGGCCCATCAAGGAAGGGGCAAGGTTTGAACCCCCTGCATCAATACCTGACAAAACTGGATGATTGACCATATCAAGAGTCAGTGGGCATGTAAGTAGTACAGCCAACGGGGACAACTTTTTACACCCAGGAATAAATGTAAGAGAAATGGGAAGATGTGTACACATGAACTAAACAAGAATGTTCATGGCAGCTTTAGTCCCAACATCCTCAGACTGGAAGTCACCCAAGCGTCCATCAGTAGAGAATCGAGTAATAAACAGTGGCATAGTCACACAATAGAAAACTAAGCAGAATTTAAAAACAAGAGCATCTAACGTATAAATCAAAACAGTGCAGACAGGGAGCAGCAGGTACAGAAGGGAACTTCTGAGGGAGGATGGGGGTGGAGGTTTAGGGAAGAACATGGAGAGGAGGGGCTCAAAGGCTATTGTGACATTGTGCTTTTTTAAGAAAACAACGTGGGTGCATAGGAGTAGGTCATATGAAATTTGTACTTTAAATGAATGTTAATAACATTTTTGTCTATAGTAAATTTAAACAATTTTATCTAAATAAATAAATACAACAGATTGATTTCAAACATTTTGTGTTAAAGGCAATTTTAAAAGGCTATGCATTAGCTTAAAAAAACAAAATCTGTTTCTGACATCAACCCAGTATCTTTATCTAAGGTAGGAAGTGAGAACGTCTCACCTGGCAGCATATTGATGTCTGCAGACTCATGAACTCATCCAACAGCCTCAGCAGCTCCTGGAACTGATCATCCTGGTAGTCAAAACGCTCCCCAAATGTGATGGAGCAAATAATATTGGAAACTGCATTCTTGATTTTCAAGTTAGGGTCAAAAGGCTGTCCTGGAGGGAGAGGAGAATTGGGGTCTGTTTCCTCTGAGGGTGTACTCTACATGACACAGGACAGAATGAGAACAGAACCACCTCTGAGACTGTGGCCCCAGCACCCTCCACAGGGTCTGACCTACAGCAAGTACCCAGTCAGTGCCTGGAACTCAAACTGACAACCAGGATTTAAAATCAATAATGTGTTCTATACCCATCTTCTCGTGTCTAATTCTCCAGCTCCATGAGGGCAGGTCATGGTTAGTTGTTCACTGTTAACCCCTCGGTGCCCTACACAGTGCTGGGCACAGGGCAGGCACGTGGGCACTTATTAAGCATCTGGTCAGTGAAGGAATGAGCTGCAGTCTGCTGCACCTGTCCTATGACACACTCACCATCCTCCTCCCCTACTGCCTGGGTGAGGTAGCAGGCCTCTTCCTGAATGCGTTCCTCTAAGCTCTTCTTTCCTAAACCAAAGTTCCTCAGTGTCATCAGGGCAAACCTTCTTTGCTCCTTCCATTCCTGGCCATAGGACATGATCAGTCCTGGGAAAAAGAAAGTCAACATTACGTAAAGACAGCCAACAAATACCATGGGGATGTATATCAGATGGAAGGAAGGAGAAGGGCAAAAGATACTTGAAAACTGTTCAGAGAAATAACCCCAAAGCCATGGGTATAATGACTAGTATGTACTGCTTACTTGCAATGCCGGACACATTTGTATTTTTAATGCATTGTGTAATGTAGTACTCACAGAGCCTCTCTGAGCTAGGTACTGTCATTACTGTCAACATCCCGCCCCCAATCTGGCTTATGAGGGAAAAGAGCCACAAGAGATATAAGTAATCTCTGCAAGGTCACAGAGTTAGTAACTAGCAGAACAGGTCTTCAAATTCAGGCTGCCTGACTCTGAACCCAATGCTCTGATTACTTGTCACCTAAGTACAGTTTAGTATTTGTTGTGCTACATGCTAAGAATGCACTTATTGATTAGACAAACTCCTTACTCATAAGGAGGCAAGGCTTTATGGCAAGCTAGATCTTAAGCGATAAATGAATCACTCAAGAAATTAAATAAGAGTGAACAGTCTATGCAAAAATAACAGCACAGCAAATGGGAAAAATACCCCATCTGCTGTGCTCAGTAGACCATCATTCATTTCATAACACAGGTGAGGTCACACTCCCTTCAGAATTGTCCAGAGCACTCTACAATCCCTTTTAATGCCTGGCTCTGGCCTCCACCCTCTCCATGAAATGGCCCTCCCTCCTGTCAAATCTAGGATCCCTTTCAACCTCATCTGGATACATCAGCTGCCTGAGACACTTCTCTCTTGAAACACTCTTCCAATGGTGCTCAGGACATGTCACTCTCCAGATTTTCCTCCTAATTCTATGATCACAGGGAACTAACCATTTTTGGTTAAGTTATCTACTTCTATCGAATTTCAAAATGATGCAGTTCTTCAAGTTTCATGATC